CCACCCACACATACACACACACACACACACACACACACACACACACACACACACACACTTGCTGTGGAACACTTGTTTAATGCACAGATGTGTTGCCGTCTTTTATGCTGCATTTGTTTAACTCTGTGAAGCTGTGTTACTGTGCCTGCCTAAAACACCTAATTGGCCTAATAAAGAGCTGAACGGCCAATATCGAGACAGGAGAAAGGACAGGCGGGGCTGGCGGGCAGAGAGGATAAATAGGAGGAGAAATCTGGGAAGAAGAGCTCAAGGAGTGAGAAAAAGGTTTGCAGAGGGTTCCAGTGGCTGACTCCTGTCCCCAGGCCATGGCTCCTTCAGGTGTGTAGCCGCTTATCTGCACCCCCGGAACTGATGTCTGACCCCGCTTCACACTCCTTCATAATGTCTGCCAATGACTCTCTAAAATCACTTTCTGTCTGCTGGGGGCTCACTAGCTCCCCGCATCCTCACTCATGTTTACCGGGACTTGGGAAGACAGGGAGGCAAATGCGTGGCTCCGTCTGCTCTCTCAGACTTGGTCCCAGCCCTGATGGTCTTAACCTGCCTCACTTCTGTCTCTTTGTGTCTTGTTTTGTTTGGTTGGGTTTTAGTTGTTTTTCTTTATTTGAGATAGGGTTTCAGGTAGCCCAGGTTGACCTCGAATTCCCCCAGCAGCTGAGGCTGGCCTTGAACCTCTGCTTCCACCTCCCAAGTGCTGGGGTTCTGCATTCCTGCCTCTCTGTGGGTTCTCTTCTTCTGTTTTTGGTGGAAAGTCAAACTCAGGACCTCACAAGCTAACAAAACTTTCTACCCCTGACTAGGTTGTTTGCTGCTGGGCTCTGGACAGAATGTGATGGGGCATATTCTCTCACTACAGAGGCAGAAACCGGTAGGGGTTTTTTGTTCATTTGTTTGTTTTGTTGTTTTTGTTGAGACAGGCTCTCTCTATTATATAGCTCTGGCTGTCCTGGAGCTCACTCTGTAGACCAGACTAGACTCGAACTCAGAGACCTGCCTGCCCCTGCCTCCTGAGTGCTAAGACAAAGGCGTGTGTCACCATGCCTGTCTTATTCCTAACCCTGTTCTGTAATAGTCTGTTTTCTATTGCTGTAACAAAATACCTAAGACAAGGCACTTCAAAAAGAAAGGGCTATTTATTTCACAGTTTACAAAGCTGAAAATTCCAAGGTCAGGGGACCTCACTGACTGAACCTCTGGTAGGGGCCCCTTTGGAATCACATGATTTGTAGACAGCATTGGGTTGAGAGCGCATGCAAGAGATCCTGTAGTGAAGATGAAATGAGAAGCCTCAGAGCTTCTCATAGCAAGTTCCAAGGCGGCCTAGACTTCGGCTGTGGCCTCTTTTTGGTATTGCTCTCAGGTTCCCATGGTAACCACTTTAAGCCTTTCAAAGGCAAGAGTGTTGGCTAAGCAGTGGCGCTGCAGCCATGCGGACGGATGTTGCGATGGCGGAAGAATCATGAGCCATGGTTACTTTTCTAGAGCTTTATTGGGAGAGAGAGGGATAGAGAGAGAGAGACAGACAGACAGAGACAGAGAGACAGAGGGACTGGATGGAGGGAATACGGAAGGAGAGAGTGCAGAAAGAGGGCACAGAGAGGGCATGCCCGCTTTTTAGGCTGGGACGTGGTTGCAGGCTGGTGACGTAATTAAGGACATAATCCTTACAAAGAGTGCCCACTGTTCTGACCAACTCCCACCAGGCCCAGCTTTTTAATGGTCCCACTACATCTTAATACTGTCCACTGCCAGTGAGCACTGAATCAGGCCATCCCATAGTACACAGCCTCCCAATGACGTTGTTTCACCTTTCCTTAAGCTCTGCGAGGGGCCACCTAAGTGTGGCCC